AGAGAGACACCATTTCTCTTCAGTACTTTGGAGAGGTCCCTAACAGCAGACTTTCCCATGGCAATGCGCCTTTTAATTTCCTGGCTGCTGGTGCTAAGACTGTTGACTACAGAGCCAAGCAAACTAAAGCTGTGTACAATCTCAATCTCTTCACCATCCATCCTGACGCTGCCAATTACTATTATTTATTCTTGAGCTGCCACAAACATGCATATATAAAATACAAGAAAACAGAATTATACAATGAAACTGAGTGATAAGAGAATTGAGGTGTTATCAGACTCAACAGATAGAAAGTGACTCTGACAGGTGGCTTTAAACCCTGCCCTTAAGTCAGTCTTGTCTCACGGTGACCATACAGGACAGAGTAGAACTGTCCTATTAGGGTTTCTTTTTTATTATTATTATTAATTTTAATGAAAATTTACAGAGACTTTGGATTTCTATTCATTCATTGTTGCACTTTTCTCCCTGCTCACCCCTCCCCTCAGTACACTCTTCTCTTTGAAAAGTAAAGGAAAAATTATTTCATTGTTTTACAATCCCTCCCCACAAGTCCACTCCACTATGCAGCCTTCATTCTGGACTCCTATTAGGGTTTCTTAGTATATAAATCTTTAAGGAAGCAGATTGCTCATATTTCTCCCACAAAAGGGCTGGTGTATTCAAATGGTCAACCTTCCCAATGCTTAAATTGAAGCACCACTATGGCCTTATTTCAAAGCCTATTTGGCTGTCATAACTGATCAACAGCCAACCCAGTCTGTGGACCACGCCTTGAGGTACCCTGAAGGATTTGCAGCTAACAGTTTAGAATATGATTCCACATCCAGTATCTGGCTGGACAGCTCCTAACAGTATCTCACCCACCTACATAAGCATCCCCCAGTTCAGCCTCTCTAGGTCGACATCCTCTATTGGCCCTGATCTTTGAAGAGGAAGAGGTCCCATCAGGGGCTCAGGACGGTTAACTCAGATGACCAAAGCCACACAATCCGTGAACGATGGAGGCAGGGCTCAAACTATTCCCAGGGAAGTCTGATAAGGACAGACCTCAAACAAGCTCAGAGAGGTGACAGGAAGGAATCCTGAGAGGGGGAGATGTCCTGCTGCAGACACACACACGTGTCAGGCAATTTCAGGGAGCAAATCCTTCCCTGTAGCAGCTGCAGGGCATGTCTGCTGTCGGTACTGACTTCCTTGTCTCTGGTGTTTGTCCTCCAGCTCGGATGCACCAAAGGGCTGTTCAGCCAAGCCCAGTATTTCATGGACCTCTTCTGTGCCAACATGATGGACTTGAACCGAAGAGCTGAGGCCATCAGATACGCCTATCCCGTCCGGGACCTCTTCATGGAAAACAGTTCGCCTAGCTTGCCTCTCTCAGATTAAGTAGCAGGGTCTCTCTGACTCGGGCACGCACCATCATGCACAAGCTCACACACAAATACACACCTACACACACAAACATGTACACACACAAAAGGCATTGCACATTCACAAACATGCACAGGTAAACACATGCACACACATGTGTGTGAACACAAATGGGCCATGCACATTCATGTGATCATGCAACACACACACACACACAAGTACACACAGGGTTTTCCAATACAATTAACAAAAATACCAGAGTCCTAGTTGAGTTTAAGCCCTAGAAAAACCACCAAAAAAACCGTGTTTCCGTGTATGTATATCCCAAATACTGCATGCCATGTACAGTGGAGCTAGCATTCCACAAACTGCATTTCTCCTGGTCTTGCAAGTTTTCGTCTCACATTTTAACAGGATACAGTCTTGACACTTCTATATAGACTGTTCAGTGGAAAATATTTGTGTTTTTCCTCTTAAAGATAGGCTTGCATTCCTCATTTCACAGGGTTTACTGTAGTGAAAATAGATTCTTCTGCACCTGGCAGCCCTCACACAGACACTGCTGCCTTCACCAGCTCGCTGTGACTGCTGTTTGTCCCCAGGGACCAATCTCGTGACAGCACCGCACAGACTGACCAACCAGTTGACGGACTCACTGACAACCTTAGGCCTAAGGCTAAGAGGGAAGATCTGTGGTTACCATTCAATTGTAACTGGCATTTCAGAGAAACAATGGATAGTTTTTCAGTATAAGTACATACTATGTTGTTTGTTGTTGTTGTTATGTGCTGTCGAGTCGCTTGCGACTCATAGCGACCCTATGTACAACAGCCCTAAACTCTGCTCTGTCCTGTGCCAATCGCACTGTCTCTGACACTCCCATCCCAATTATCCCAGTCACTGAATCAATCCACCTCATAGAGGGTCTTCCTCTCCTGCGCTGTCCCTCCACCCTCCCAAGCATGATGTCCTTCTCCAAGGACCGGTCTCTCCTCACAACATGTCCAAAGTATGTTAGACGGAGCCTCAGAATCCTTGCCTCCAAGGAGCCACCTGGTTTAACCCTTTCCAGGATGAATCTGTTTTCCTAGCAGTCCATGTACTATTTGGAATACACTTATATACTTGGCTTGTGTGTTCCAATCTCTTCACCTACTCTGACTCTCAGTTGACTGTGACCAAGGCCCTAATCAGGAGGCAGATCACATATTCAGGGATGTGTCCTTACACTCATGGTTCAAAAGCACTTTGTCCCTAAGGTGTAGCCCTGGGCTGCCTCTTCCAGTCAGTGAATGGGGTACTACCTCTGGGCTGCTTGGTCCTTCAAGGTGGAGGCAGATGGCACAAGTGGCATCACGGTGGCTTTGGTGGTGAGGGAGGAGGTGTGTCCAAGGCAGCGTTCTCCAGAAGGTTCCCCTGTCTCTGCTTTAGTCATGCTCTGTGGACTTGCTGGATTTGGAGACTTCTACAAGCTCCGGTGGCTGGACGCCATTCTTAGCTGGCAGAAGCCTCTAGAAGGATGCTTTGGAATACCTGGTGAGTGATGGTTTCCCCTGGGCTGAGGACAACAGGGGGTATGGGGCTATGCTGCGTGTTCTCAGAAAAGAAGGGAATCAATGGAGTGTTAGAGGCATGGAGCAAGCTGGGCAATGCGCATGTGCATGCGTACACACAGAGAGAGACATGTGTAATGAGCTGGGAGCTTTGAAAGTCAAAATTGGGCAGGAAAGGATGCCTTCTCAAAAGCAGGCTCTTACTCCCCAGGGCCTGTATTAGCAGTTTACTTCTTCATGAAGTATTTACTGGGACAGGGTCACCTCTCTGAGCTGGATTTCCCCATCTGTAAGAAAAGGAGTGTGGTAACTCTTAACTTCATGAGAAGAGAGAAACAGCAGACACAATGTCCGTGACACCAGCCAGCTCTGGACCAAGTGCCACGTAAACCAGCTACCACCGACTCACAGTGCCCCCTTGTGTGTCAGAGAAGAACTGGGGTTTCAACGGCTGACTTTTCAGAACTAGAAAACCATACATTTCTGCCAAGGCATCTCTGGCTGGACATGATTTTCCAATCTTTCTATTATCAGCTGAGCACACTGATCTTTTGCATCCTCAGGGACTCCTAGTACCTTCTAAAATAAAAGCTTGGGATGCTCAGAGAAGCAGAGTTTTTGAACTGAGAAATGCTACTATAAATCAGAGGAGTTTGTGGAATACAGATTCTCAGACCCCGATCAGTGCAGCAGGTCTGGGATGGAGGTGAGATTGTGTGACCCTTGTGTGTTTAGAAAGTCCCTTGAGTGATACTGACGTGGGAAGGCGCAGAATCACAATCTGAAAACTATCAGGCGATGAAAAGTTTAAACCAGGTGGAAGCATCTCTAGGCATGAGGAAACTTTCTAAAAAAATCCTCTGTTTATGAGAGAAGACCCAAGTTTCTTGGGAGCTGGGAAGTGGAGGGCAGTTTAACGAGTACATCTCCAAGTGCCTCTTGAAAAACTGATGTCAGACTTCTTTCTCTGGTCCCATCACCAGCTCCTGAAGATCCAGTGTCTAAAGCCCTTCAAAACCAACAGCGTTTCTTGAAAAGAGTGAAGAGGCGAGAAAAGCAATTTTCAGGTAATGAAATGGTCTAAATAAGTTTCAAAGTTATGAAGGAAGATGCCTTTGCAAAGGGGCCCTGGTAGCACTGTGGTGACATCTCTCGACTGCTAATTGAAAGGTCAATGGTTCGAAGCCATTAGCTGCTCTAAAGGAGAAAGGTGAGATGCTTTGTTCCTATAAAGATTACATCCTTGGGTCCCACAGCAGGCAGGTCCACTCTGTCTGACAGGGTTGCTGTGAGTCAGAATCCGTGCGATGACAGTGAGTTTGGGTTTTGTTTCCGGGGCAGCCTGTGCGCATTTCCACGCGCGGTACTGAACAGATGTGCAGCAATGAATGAAGGGGGGGGGCGGAAATTAAAGGGAAAGAATATGCTATAAAAAATATTTATGTTGCCTTAAAAAATCATTAATTAAAAAAAAGAAAGTCCCTCCAAGGAAAGCAATCCTGTGTTGAGCAAGTGTCTCGGCGCTCCATTCCAAACAGCATGCGCTCAGGTAATGTGTCTGTTACATTTTGGTGATTTTCACAATATTTTAAATTTTTTTTTATAATGCACGTAATAACCAAATACACGTAATAACCAAAACCCAAATCCACGCCTGGTGACTCAATTCTGACTCACGGTGACCCTCCGCTGGGTTTCCAAGGCTGTAAATTGTAACAGGAGGAAGATGCTCCATCCTTGTCCTGGAGATTCAATCCTCTGACCTCTCGGTTCACAGTCAAACCCCTAAGGCACCAACGGCGCCTTTAACAGACTACAGCTTAGTGTGAACACAACTTTTTCTTGTTTATTTTATTATTTTTGTGTGTGTACCATCAAATCGGATCTGACTGGTGCAGGAGGAGATTGTCCCTCCTTCTCCAGCGAAGCATCTGGTGGATTTGAACCGCACACCTTTGGGACATGAACACAACTTTTATATGTACTGTTGTTGTTGTTGATTGCTGTCGAGTCAAACACAACTCATAGCTCCTCTGAAGCCCCTCTACAATTATCAACACTTATAAAAATGTATAGAGTTTCCGGAGGCATGTTTAGGAAGTGGATGCCATTCCTGCTTTATATGTACTGTTGAAAAACAACAAAAAGTTGTTGTGTATCATAGAGTCGGAACCATAGCTGACCCTCCAGCGGGCTTTCAGAGACAGTTCATTGCACAGGAGGAGATTGCCCATCCTTCTCCTGCGGACCAGCTGGTGGCCTCAAACTGAATGCCTTAGAGATTGCAGCACAGCTCCTTGCCACTAGGCCAGGCCACCAGGCCTACATGTACTAGGAAACAACCAAACAAACAAAATCCCATTACTTGCTTTATTGCAGAAATAAGCCATACTGGGTGGGCTGGAACTAGACCTCAAATATCTCTGAGGTCTTCCTGGTACCGGTGTCAGAGCTTCCGGTACTTGTACATCACAGCAGTATGGAAACTACCACAGTGAGTCAAGCTGACAGATGGAGGCATTTGAGGAAGGGACACAGCCTCCCAAGTGCAATGGGCTAAAGATGATTCTCCAAAGGAGGGAGCTGTTAGCAGCCAGCATTCCCAGCAGCTGGAGGGTCTGTGCCAGGCAGCAGCCATGCTTATTCAGTCCCTGCATGGGGGGACTACAATAATCAATGAGAGATTAAAAAGGGAAAGGTGCTCGGGAAAAGGTCAAGGTTGCTGCCCCCAGCACTCACTGAGCAGGACATATGCTCTCTCCCCAGATGGCTGCTCTGTCCACAACACCGCGGTGGCAGTTGGAGCCATTGGTGGCTTCCTCTACGTCCTGGTGGAGTCCCCTCTGACACCTGGAAGTGTGCTCCTGTCCACCCACTGTCGCCAAGGCCAAGAAGCTCCTGAGATGGCTGGGTCCACGCTTGCCACCCCAAAATGAGACAAACTCATTTAGCTCCCTCTCCTCTGGGTCCTGGAATCCTTTCTTGAGAATGGAGGAACTCTGATCCATCATCTCACCTTGCTGGGGAGCCGGGGTGAGCAGGCAGGGTGGGAGATGTTCCAACCCAGCAATGTGGTCCTTTTGCCTGGCCTCTGCTTCAGTCTCTTCTCCAAGGGGACTTCCTATTCATCCTGAATCTGGGAATACTGGGCCTATAGCCCCATCTGGTGCCCAGACCAGACCAGGCCAATCCTTGGGAATAAATGAGCAGCATCCCTGGACACCAGGACAGCGCACCAAATCACCCCTCCTCTGTTCCCTTCAGCCAATAGCTCTTGTCACAAAACAAACCGTTTCTAATTATATCTAATCACTCACATTGCTCATCAATGGGTCTGTAGCATCTTCTTCAGCAGATAAACTTGAGATCATTTCAAGGATCCCTCTTGCCAGGTTCAGGTGAGGTCTTCTGCTGAAGGTCAATGGCCAACTCCATCTCTACCTCCATGGGACATCAGAAGTTCCCGTCTACATGAAAAGATTTAAGAGGGGCATTGTGAGTCGGGTCTTGCATCTTAGTCTTTAAGACAACACTGGACAATTTCTAGGTCTGTTTTGAATCTTCAATCTCATTTGACACAAGTACAACCTACCAGTCAACCAGTTGCCATCCGACTCATGAAGACCTCAAGTATGTCACCACAGGACTCTATGGACCCACAGTCAAAGGCCAGTTTTCCACATGAAGATCGCCAGGCCATTCCTCTGAGGCACCTCTGGATGGATGTGAACCTCCAACCTCTCAGTTAGTGGGTGTGCATGCCAACAGTGTGTACCCCCCAGGGACTCAACAGAGACCCATAAACTGGAGTCTTCAAGGCCCTTTGTTCAAATGGGGAAAATAATTGTGCCTACAGACGTTACTTCAGAAGCAGTACATGCTACTTTCTAGAGCCTGTATGGCGAGCTCAGTAAAACCTTTACATCATATCACATCGCTGACATAACATTTGGCAAGTGGCAGTGTAGCCTAATGATTAACAGCGTAGGATCCATGCCCATGCTCTCTGAGTTCAAATCCCAGCTCCCTTACTTACTATCTCCTTGCCTTTGGACAAAGTCATTAACTTCTCTGGGCTTCAATTGCCTCCTAAGCGAAATGGAGCTAATATTAGCACCTACCTAAATGTGAGGAGGTAGTTCTGGGGGCAGAGTCTGCGGGGAGTTGTGCCGTTAACACAAAGACCATGCGACTCTGCTGGTTCAAATCCACCAGCAGCTCTATGGGAGGAAGATGAACCATCTCCTCCCAGGGGATTTACAGCCTCAGAAACCCAAGGGAGGGTCAGCTTTGAGTTGGTTCCTATGTGACAGCAATGAGACAAAGGTGATGAAATGTTAGGAGTCCCTGGGTAACACAGTTCAAGCCTCGGCTATCAGCTGAAAGGTTGGTGGTTCAAATCCACCTAGAAGCTCTGAAAGATAGATAGGCTGGTTGTTCTGCTTCTGAAAGGTCGCAGCCTTGAAAACTCAGTGGAGCAGTTTCACCCACTCACAGGGCTTGCCTGGAGCAGGAACCAACCTCCAGGTTAGAACTAAAAATAAAAACAAATACAAACAAAACCCAGTGCTCAAAACTCACAGCAGCCCCACAGGACGGAGTCCAAGTGCCCTACGCTCCCAGGACTCAAACTAACCATCGCCCCATTGTCACCTCCAGTGGTGACTGGCCCTCCCTGGGTCCCAGGCAGTTCTCAGAACCCTGCACAGATAACGCACAGCACCTAAGGACAGAAAGTGGGAGGGGACTCGGCGCAGGAGGACTACTTGACGTTACAGATGAGGGGGCGGTCCAACACTCTGGAAAAGCTAAACACCTAGGACCTTTAATCTCTGCCTCACAGGGCCCAACGCTCTGCTAATCCTTCCTTTGAAAACTATTCATGCAAGTTTGTCAAGTCGGTTCCAATTTATGACTCCGTGACATAATTTGTGACCCAGTTATATTCAATGACTCCACATGAGAACAGTAGAACTCGCGTGATTTCCAGCCTCTGAAAACCTGCTGGAGGGTCAGCTATGAATCGGTTCTGACTTGATAGCAATGAACCCAGTGTTTGAGTTGAATAAGGGAGTAGGTCACCAGATTTTCCTCTTGAATAGCTGGTGGGTAGGTTTGAATTGCCAACCTCTTGTCTTAGTTAGTTAGGCAAGCACTTAACTCCTGTGCCCCAAGGATCTTAGTTGGTGATTTCCTTTTACTTTCCCATTAACAAGGTTCCACCAAGGAACTGCTGTGGCAGTTAGGGCCATTGCTGGCTTCCTCTATGCCCTGGTGGAGTCCCCTCCGACAGGCAGAAGAGCACTCCAGTCCACCCACTATCGCCAAGGCCGAGAAGCTCCTGAGATGGCTGGGTCCACACTTCCACCCAAAAACTGAAACAAACTTGTTTAACTCCTTCTCCTCTGGGTCCTAGAGTCCTTTCTTGAGAATGAAGCCGCTGGGATCCATCATCTCACCTTCTTGGGGAGCCAGGGTGAGCAGGGAGGGTGGGAGATGGTGCAACCCAGGAATGTGGTCCCTCCCTCTGTTCCGTGTTGCAGTCCCTTCTCCAAAGGCAAGAGTTCCAGCCTAAGCCAACTTTGCTGGCAGAGCTCTTTCTTTTGTTTCATAACTTAAATACCTCCTGCTTTGTTTCAAGGTGAAAGATCAGTGTTGTTGTTGTTAAGTGCTGTCCCATCGAAGGTGACTCATAGCGACTCTATGAACAAAAATCCTAAACACTTGTGTGACTTTCATCCTTTCTCCAGACTCACAGGGTTTCCAGAGACAAGCTGTTTATAGAAGTGGATGCGACTCCTGTTTCCAAGCTTGTTTTAATCGGGGAGCTCCACCAAACACTGTCCACCACGAGTAACCATTATCACATTTGACACATCAAGCATAATTTAAGTTCCTCCTGCTTTGCTTCAAGGGGAAAGATTAGTGTAGATGATTCTTATTTGACATCATGAACACGTTTGAGCATCGAGATGGAAATGTCCTTTGCATACCACCATGCTCAACTGCGTAACACAGAAAGCCTCTTCTAAGCTTCTCTTACCCCTTTATAGCCTCCTGTAGTTTCTATTCCTGGAGCCTTCTCCCACAGTGGCTCTTAAATCATCTGGCCCAGAGGGATATTCCTGGGTTTCGCTGACAGGTTTGATTTGAGTTTTGAGCTGGTAGTTTTTCTGGGGGAGATCCAGGAACCCGAATATAATACCTACTTGGCACTTATGTGCTTCAAAGGTTTCTTTCATATGACTCAAAAAAATCTCCCCAAGGCGAAGGGTGGATCAGGAGGAAGGAGGTGCCACCTCCATCCCTCCTGAATTTGGGATGGATTAGTGGCTGACAGAGACACATTTTAAAAGGCTTTAGTTTACAAATGAGGGAGGGGAGAGACTACTGGAGAAACCTGAGCTTCTAAGTCACTTTCTTAATAAATAAAAAATCTTCTTTGTTTGAATCCACCGGATGCTCCTCTGGAGAAGGAGGGGCAATTTCCTCCTGTACCAGTCAGATCCAATTTGACGGTACACACTCACACATAATAATAATAATATTGTTATTTAAAAAATTTTTAAAAATAAGTAAAAATTCTTGGTGCAAAACATTGTTGCTTTTTGCTGTTGTGAGAACCAACTCATAGCTGACCTTACATGGGGTTTTCAGTGACATATAATCACATGGGAGACTCGACGGCACATAACGACAACGTGGATCTAGCATTTTGTTGTCTTTGTGTGCTGTCAGCTATGAGTCAGTCCGACTAGATGGTACAGAGCAACAACATGGTAAATAATAGGACAGAGGAGGAGTGCTCCACAGAGTCTTTACAAGACCAGGCTGCCCCACCGTCCTCCTGGGGAGAGGCTGGCGGAGTCTAAGGACCAGCAGCGGTGGATCACTCCCCCACTATACTCCTACCCCCACCCCGGGCTCCTTCTATAAAGATTTAAACCAACAGGCAACTCACTACTATCTAGTCTCTTCTGACTCACAGCTACCCTCCCTCACGCTTCTGTCACGTTTACAAATCTTACCCCTGGAGATGCTCAGCTTGTGATGAGCTGTGCTGTGGACTTCACCACCATGAGGGCGTCAGTAATTCTGGGAGACAATTCTACGGTGTCCTAAGGGCACCATGAGTCAGAACCGGCTCCACATCACACAACAGATGTGCTCTGAGGAGTCCTGGCAGCGTAACGGTTAAAGGCTCTGCTGCCAACACAAAGGTTGGCAGTGTGAATCGACCCAGTGTCTCTGCAGGAGTAATCTTCTCTCATAAAGAGCTGTTAGAACCTCTACTTGGAATATTATTGCTTTTAATTTTTGTCTCCTGTACTTTTAACTTGTTAGTTAAATTTGTGTCTTCTAGGCTGCAATAGTTCCATGATGCATCTTCAAGGATATGAACATGTATGGCTAAGCACAATTGATAACAGTGCATCTAAATTCCAAAATCAGTCTCCACAATAGTCTACGTGTTTCCTATTGCCAAAGGGGCCCTTTAGAGTAGTGAGAGAAGATCTTCACCCTGAAACCTACAACGTCCCATTTCAGCAGGAAGTAGCTAAGAGAATATGCCATCCCCTTTTCCTTATGAATCAGGGTGAAATCTCTCTCAGGGAGTGAAAGGGAATGTCAAAGGACACACTGACAAAGGAGATTAATTGTCCCATTGCCACAGTGCTTGTCACAGCCAGTTCTGTTGAGTCAAGTGTTCAGGTCTTTTGTTCATAGGGTCTCTATGAGTCTCCTACAACTCAATGGCACTTAATAACAAGAAGTCAAGTACAACTATAGTGACCCTAAGAACAACAGATCTTAACCTTGTTTATCTTGCACCATCATCATCATTGCTGACATGCTTGAGTCCACTGCTGCAGAACCGTAACCCTTAAAAAAAGTAAATTTAATGAAATGTAAAGTACAAAATACCAACACATCCCACAAACCATCTCATGGGATTCAACTCATAGCCTCCCCAAAACTATTCAGTGAGAAGCCCTCCACTGGTTTCCTATTTCTCAGTGGCTGAAACGCAGAGCTTTCTCCCTGGAGCCCCAAGTCCTAGCTACCTTTCTGTTAAATCACAAGATCCCTGAGGACAGCAACTCATCTGCCTGTTTCAGTGCTGCTTCGTCTGCACCGAGCACACAGGAGAACCTCAGAGTCTTACAGACACTAAAAAACTCCAGGCTGAAGAATGGATGTAGCAAAACAGAATACACACACACACACCCTTTGCACTGGGGCACTGAGCCCATTTGGATGCAACCGGGGATTTGAAGTGCCAGATTCCAACAGAGGATTTCTGGGGCATCCGGTTTGTGTGCAGAAATGAAGGCCAAACAGCACAGTGGAGCTCCAACGAGGAAGGAGACAACACGTTAGGACCAGCCAGTGAATGTTTGATCCCGTGGCTCCTAGTTGACATAAGAGGACCTGTGAGCGCCAAGGCTTGTGTACTGGTTATTTATAGCAGCTCCTCACCAGTATGTTAGCTTCTGACGGGTTCGCTTAACTCCCCTGAGAGGAGCAGTTATCTTTATGTGTTCAAATGTGGTTACTGGAAGTGAAGTGTGCTTTCCACGGACCTCAGACCACCCTCAGGGGAACCATTCGAGGTCTCTGCCGCTGATCAAGTCCTGGCTCTAAAGAGAGGCCTGAATTCAGGAATGGTTGTTGTTGCTGTTAGGCACCACTGAGCTGGCTCTGACACCCAGCAACGCTAGATACAACCCTACCTGGTCTTGTCTGCTTCTTCACGGTCATTAGGTTTGAATGCATGAGTGCAGCCCTAAATCAATCTTTCTTATTGAGCGTCTTCCTCTCTTGCATTGACCTTTTATTAAACACAATGTCCTTCTCCAGGGACCAGTCCTTCCTAACTACATCTCCAAAGGACTAGAGACAAAGTCTTGCCATCCTCACTCTTAAGGAGTATTGCTTGTACGACTTTTAAAATGTTATATGGATTTGCATACAAAATTCACATACATTGTGTTTCACACATTCCTTCTGCAACTTCATTGATTTCCCCTCTTCCCACCTGCAGCCCTCCTGCCACCTCTATTTCCCCCTTTGGACTTTGTACACATCTTGCTAGTTATCCTTCTGTTTTTACAATAATGGTCTTAGGCTGTATTTGTCCTTAAGAGACTGAGTGAGTTCACTTAGAATAATGCTCTCAGTTCCCCAGTGGTCCCATGGATCTGTCTCCTGCTTCAACAGTGTTTGGACAGAACAGATCTGGCGATTCCCTACCTCCAGCCTCCTACTGCCCTCCAACTTCATTTTCAGGTGTAACCTTGGGACCATCTTGTTGTTGTTGTTGTTGTTATGTGCCATCAAGTCGCTTGCAACTCATAGCAACTCTATGTACAACAGCCCTGAACTCTGCTCTGTCCTGTGCCAATCGCACTGTCTCCAACACATCCATTTTGACTACTCCAGTCACTGAATCAATCCACCTTATGAGGGCCTTCCTCTCCTGCACTGACCCTCCACCTTCCCAAGTATGATGTCCCTCTCCAAAGACCGGTCCTTCCTTACAACATGTCCAAAGTATGTTAGACGAAGCCTCAGAATCCTTGCCTCCAAGGAGCCATCCGGTTTAACCCTTTCCAGGATGAATCTGTTTGTTTTCCTAGCAGTCCATGGTATTCTCAATACTCTTCTCCAGCACCACAGCTTAAAGGCATCAATTCTTCTTCTATTCTCCCTAATCATTGTCCAACTCTCTGATGCTTAACAAGTGATTGCAAAGACCATGTCCTGTATCAGACGCACCTTAGTCTCCAGAGAGACACCATTGCTCTTCAGAATTAACAGTAGACTTTCCCATCGCAATACGTCTTTTCATTTCCTGGCTACTGGTGCCAAGAGTGTTGACTGTGGAGTCAAGCAAACTAAAGCTGTAAACAATCACAATTGGGACCATCTTAGCCATCTCCTATTTTTGGGACCAGCTCACACCATATTCTTTGTTAGCCCCAACACCTTGACCAACTATGAGCTCTCAGATCCGTCAAAATTATTACTGCAATAACTTTCTCCCACAGAGCAACAACCTCATTGTCAGCCAGTGGATTCTGAGTCACAACATCCCTCTACCTGGAATGTAAATCTTTACAAGAGACTGCCCATCTTTCTCCCTCGGGCCGGCTGCTGAATTCCAACCACTGGCTTTTCTTTTAGCAACCCAACTCTGGTTATGTACTACACACACCATCAGGGCTTCGCCAAGCGTCTTTG